GGGGCCAGAGGTGGTGTTAACAACTCCAATAAATCAGGGTCTGTATACTCCCATATTTCTCCCAGTTTCTCTGCACTACAATGTACTTATTACTTCTCTACCAGATAAGCTCTCTTAGTTCCTATAGTATCTTACTAAAAGAAACTGAATATGGCCATGCAATAGTACGAACTTCCTTCTCAATACCACTTACTCAACAAATCACTACCAAAACTACAATACAAAAATATTTAACAATAAAATAAATACTTAATCCTAATTAATACTTTGTATACTACCCATCTGCTTCAATAATTACCTCAATCCTCTGAATTATAGATTCTGTCAAGCTATCACTGACCTTGCGGACTCAGAGTTCTTAACACAAAGTAACTGTCTCTTCAATAGCCTTCCTGATTTCACCCTTAGGTCCTTTCATGAGATAAAGCTCAGGGTAATACTTATAAATCTTAGCTTTTATAAGAGGCCAAATATCTTCAATAGGATTATGATCTAATGCGTAAGCGGAAATTTCTTTGAGAGTAACACCGTTAGATCTAAGTCATCTCATGAAGGGAATCCAGGTTCTACTATTGTCAATAATCAAAAATATTTCCTCCTCTTCCATTTCCTCTTTCATTTCTTTCTATATACTTAGGAAATCATATTGATCATAAACTTGAATAATAGACCTTCCAGTAATCTCTCCTCTAGCAGAATTAGGATTAGGAAAAACAGGAAGAAAGAAACCATATTTCTGACTATGAAAACAACCAGTCAACACTTGACTAACCTTTCTCTCACCTACTCTAGTAGTAGGATCAATGTAGTCCTTATATCATTTTTCTTTAAGATATCTAAATATCTCTTTCATCCTGTTACCTCTACCTCTTTCTACAGTAACCTCATCCCCTTATATGGCTTACTTTCTCCACATCTCTCTAGTCCAATCTCTATAAGCCAAAGCCTACTCCAATCTCTTTCCTCCAATTTCCTTATCCAAATGGTCTCTCTTCTTTGTAATCTGTTTATGTAAATCCTTTTTCTGCA